TTTTTTTTCTTTTTATGTACACTGAGAGCACATGCACCAAAGACAAATTCCTTGTGTGTCCAATCACAATAAAGAATTCTATTTCTATTCTGTAAGAAGGGCCAATTACCATTTATTTTGAATCACCTGTAACTTCCAGATGGTCTTCAAGGGCACTCCCATGTAGAATGTATTGCAGTAGTTTAATCATGGGGTGCCCATGCCATGAATGACTATCAAATGTATCCTCATTCTTATTTATAAATGGTTTCCTGTTAGCAAACTTGTTCTGTCAAGTGTCAAAATAAGCTCAGTCCTAATTTTCTGATAAGGCATAAAGACTCTCAACCATTTATCGTCTCCCAAGCTATGAGCAAAAAGATAGTTGAGGGTGAGGGCTGGGGGCAGGGAGAAGACTTTGCCGAAACTGATGACCAACTTTTTTGCCAATCCACAAAGACAAAAACATTCCAGGAAGAACAGGGAAGGCAGCTCCTATACACAAGTCACCATCGAGTTAATAATAACCCAGGAAGGTTAATCAACAGTTTCTCAGAGCTTTTAGGAGCTACAAAAGCCGCAGCCTGTGAATCAGCAAACCAATGTGGTTATTAGAGGGGGTTACACTAGTAAGCAAGGAGAATAAATTATATAGAGCTGCAGAAGGGGCTACAGCAACCCTAGATGGAAGGCTACCTTCCTCCCACATTAAAGTAGACTCAAATTTATGTTGCTCATCATCGTAGGCAGTGTCCACTGATGACAATAATGTCTTGTGCAGAAGTTCCTGGTAGTGCAATAATCCATGTAAAATTACTAATGGGAGCAAAGAGATGTAGAAAGCCACTGCATTTTTTGCAGGACTGACCTCTCGAGCCCTTAGATCTGATTCCTGTTCAAAGGAGAGAGAGAAAAATCTCCCTCTGTAAGGTGAGGGTGCACTAGTTTTGCACGTAACCTCAGAACTAATGCTTCAGAGGTTGCTGGAGTCACACAGCACCGCAGGCCTATATAAGGATCTGCTGCTACTTTTTAAAATTACTTTTTATGTTTGTTTGTTTTTATAATACAGAATAAAATTTAAGGAAAGAGAATAAAATAAAAGCGATGAGACAAGAATAAATAAATGAAAGTGAAAAGAAAAAAATAGGAGAAGAAAAAATACAAAAGACACTACATGGAGCTACCCGTGGAAATTACCTGGAAGCTACTGCAGAATGCAGCTATGCAAGCAATCTTAGGCAAGCTGCATTTATTGTCGGTTTGCTTCCGTGTCCAATGCACAGTGTTGGTTATGAACTTTAAAACCCTACATGGCATGGGGCCAATTTACTTGTGATGCATGCAGCCATGGGGCTGGTTAGTACCCTGAAGTCCCTTCCCTAACTTTTAAATATTATTCTTATTTTTAAGAGTTTTATATTATAATATTTAAACATGCCCAATATCACACTATGAGGGTGATAAAACTGATGTATAAATAACTAAATAGAACATTTGATTGTCTTTGCAGCAGTTGTAAATGTATTCAAAATGTATTCTCTAGAGCAGGGGTGTCAAACTCAAATTACATTGAGGGCTACATCAGGGCTGTGGTTGACTTCGGGGGGGGGTCAACTGGCTGGGTGTGGCCAACTGGGTGGGCATGCCAGCTTGACGCCACTCACTGGATTTGGCTGACTGGGTAGGTGTGACCAACTGGTGGGCGTGGCCAGCTTGACATCACTCCCCAAACTGCTGGCATGTTTCCTCTTCATATTGGGTAAACCAGGCCAAAGCAACATGGACCGGCTCCTTACATTTTCTAGGATAGCCCAGCAGGCTGGATCCAGCCCGTAGGCCTTGTGTTTGACACCTCTTCTCTAGAGTTAACGGTGCTTCTTTATTAAAAAAAAAATACTTGTTCTTTGCTGGAGCGGGCCAGAGCAGCTTCAAAGGATTTTCAAAACAAATTAGTCTTCTCTTGGGAACTTTATTTCTTTCTATCAAAAATAACATATAAAGATCCAAACTCAAAAGTGTAAAAACTTTGTGCAAGGAAGTGGAGATTTATCTACATAGACTTTTTGCTATGTGAAAGAAGGCAGATTAGAGGGGTTTTGGTCGTGTCTTGTTTTGCTATTGTTATAGTAAGCTCTTTGGGGCGAGGACAGTCTGCTTCTAGCTTTGCAAATTTTCCACTGTATTAGATGAAGAACAGCCTGGTGGAGTTTTAGAGAATCAGACCAACTTTTTCCAACATTGTTGTAGTAGCAGATAGAAGGTTGTATGTGCAGATTTTATTGGATTCAGTTTTTCTTGTATTTGTCTCTTAGAAAATACAGATATAAGAGCATAGGCACCTAGAGTTCCTGAAAAAGGAAATGATTTTGTTTTAGCTGTTGTTAGGCCACCAACATGTTTCAAGCAGGACTTGTTTTTATTGCCTTGCATTGTGCAAAAGCTGGCTGCACCGTCTGTCTGCCTGCCTGCCTGCCTGCCTGCCTGCCTGCCTATGGAGTTCAGCCTTCACAATGGCAGAGAGAGTACTAGAGAGCAGGAGGCTAGTTACAATGCAGAGACTAGCTCGATTTAAAGCAGAAGGTGGATAACCTCCAGCTTCTTTTTCTACAAATAGAGATCAGGTGATGAGGGGAACATTGCATACTAGGCTTTGTTTAGTTTTAATACTACCACACACTAAAAATTAAAGCCATAAAAAGAGAAAGCCTGAACATGCAGATTCTACTCACAGTCTAAAATAGGATCTGTTTGGTCTTCTGCTCCTGGCCAATATACACAGTTCTGTATCCTATCACCTGTCTGCCATGACTTCATGGCCAATATCCAAATACCTGAGACAGCACATTCGGTCTATTTTTATTTTCTTTGAGAGTGTGGCCAGAGTAATATCATCATTTCCTTGATTTGGCACAAGGAGAAAGAAATCCATTCATTCTTGTTAGCAGAGAATTATACAAAAACAGAGAATTATACAAAATTATACAAACGTTTGTGATTTGACAATGTCCCTGGTGAGAGCTAGTTTGGTACATTGGTTAAGATACTGGACAAGAAGTTAAAAACCAAGAGATACCTGCCTTGTATATGAAAGCCAAGAGAGTGACAGCCAATCACTCTTCTCAGCTCCACTAAAAAAAGCAATAACAAACCACTTTTGAAAATTCTACCTAGAAAATTGCATAGACTTTTCCAAATAGTTGCCGAGTTATAAATGACTCGAAGGCATATGTATATATGTGTAGATGTGTGTGTGTATGTGTGTGTAATGTGTATATGTAAATGTGTATATAATTGTAACTACATATTGTAATTGTGTACTTAGGGCAAACATAGGTTTCAACCCATTTAGTATGTAAAATCATCTTCCTTTGTATTTAACTAAGATATTTACCTATATTCTTTCACTAAGAGAGGTAAACAAGGTTAATACATTTCATTTCTTTTGCATTGCTGCAAAGATATTGCTGATAATTCCTTAAGGAATGCAGGCATTAGCTATTCTGAAGTTCTGTGTAAATCTTCAGAAAGCAGTATTTAGCATTTTTGCTTTTAACCCTTAAACATTTTTCCTAGATCAGCCTTGTAAAATGGAGGAGTGGAGCAGTAGAAAACACTGTCTGGTTTAAGCATGTTATACAGATTCAACTGGATATTTTTGAATTGGATCAGAAATTAATATTTGGGGCACATTTTTTAATTGGAGATTTTCACCAATTACTTGCCAGTATCTAATAAAAATTATTAGCAGGACATTCTATATTGCTTATTTTATGACTAGACAGATATCGCTGAGCAAAATAGGACTGGGCTTCCTTTCTTCTGCTACCATACATCCACTTGTTTAAAAATAATTATATTAAACAGCATCCTCTTTCAGAAAAACAAAACCTGTACACATTTTGATATAGATAGCTGTGTGCAGGAGTGGGATTCAAAAATTTTAACAACCAGTTCTATGGGCGTGGCTTAGTTGGTGGGGGTGGCTTGGTGGTCATGTTATTGGCTGGGCATGACCAACTCAATATCACTCACATCGAGGCAGGGCATCTCCTCGCCGGGCCTCTCATGACTGTGGGGATGCTGCAACAGTCATAAGTGTGAAAAATGGTCATAAGCCACTTTGTTCAGTGCCATTGTAACTTTGAATGGTCACTCCACACAAGCAAAGTACCAGCAAAGGAGGGGAAAAAAAACTCCAGAGAAGTTCCTGAGACAGGAAGTCTAGTCCTGCCAAGAATGTAATAAGGGTTAACAGAGAGGCAGTTTCTGTAAGCAACACCAGAATGTTTCCTTCCTGCCTTCCTTACAGGATTAGGCCAGTAATTTCTTCTAAAAACCGGTTCTCCAAATGTTAACAACCAGTTCTAACAAATAGGTGCAAACTGGTAGAATCTCACCCTTGGCTATGTGTGTTGAATTAAACAGCCAGTTCTAACTTAAGAGATTGATTCCACTTTACAAAGAAGAAATCTACTCAGAAATAGAATTAGATATTACCTTTCTGAATTTGTCATTTTGTCAATTGAGCTCTAGATTAGCAGGTTCAAATTAGAACTTTGGGTGTGAATAGAGTCTTCCCCAATCCCTATCTGATCAACTTTACTTTAAAAGCAAGTACTGCAAAGTTTTCCAGGTTTGTTTCTCTGGATTCTGTTTGCTTATTCAGAGCACAGATTGCTTAATAGTCTGCATATTTCCTGTTTATATTCATTTAAATGTGCAAAAGTATTTAGAACCAACAGCAAGCAGAGTTAATAAATCTCCACTGGTCACATGGAAAGAACAGATGTAGAGAACAAACACTGTATGTTATATTGGTTGTGAAGGTATGGGGGGGGGATTAACACCTTTTGAAAATCAAATGGTTGAAGGTGTAATTAGGGCAGCCAACAACGAATTGCCAGTAAATTTCAAAGAATGCCAAAACCAATGAAGAGCTGTTTATGTCAGCTGCTTTGTTGTAACCAAGGAAAATGCTTTTGAGGCCTATGGGCTAATTTTTGTCTGTTGTATTTCAGGTAATAATGTATGTACCACAAGAGGAGCAAATTCATGCCAACAGTGCCTTGCTGTAAATCCACATTGTGCTTGGTACTTCAATGAGGTAAGTCAAAACTAAATCTATACTATAGCATAATAAGCACTTATCATGAAAGACTTGAAGGATACTTCAAATGTAAGTTTATTTTATTTATTTATTTTTGTACACAGACACAAGGGCTTTGAATTCTATCCTAGACGTTCTGATGCTACTAGTAACAAAGCAGAGTGTAACCAAGTTTCAAAAATGCTGTCCTATTGCCTTTGCCTCAGATTCTTTTATGGAGGGAAAAGCGCCAAAGAAAGAGTGGGGAAATACGAGAGAGTTATTGGTGAAATATTGCACCATCTAGACCTCAGATAAAAGTACAAGTTTCAGGCACGTTGTTGCACAATAAAAATCGTGTATGGAAGCATGCCCAGATTCAACCATCTGTAGTGAAACCTGCTGACTGACTGTGTAGTTAATTGTATATTTAAGAAACAGAATAACAGATAAAACCCACAGGAAAGAAAAGCCAGATAAAAGCACTGGGCAGATTAAAATAATCAAATGCTGTTGGAGAGTTACCATAAAAGGCCTTTGGCAGAATTTCTAAGGACAAAAAAACTGACATTTTGGAAAGCTTATATTTATGGAATATAAGTTTATGGAAGAATGTATTTCATCAATATTGGTTCTGAATAATCCATAATTGGTAGTCTTTGCTAATAGTTATTTATGCCTGGATCACTGCTTGAATGGCCTATTGTAATGCACTCTAAATGAAGTTGCCCTTGAAGAAACTTCAACTGGTACAAAATGCAGCAGAGCAGACAATTATGGGTGCCCCTAGAGTGGCACATGTCTGTGAACTGCAGTTTGCTATTGAGTGCCATTCAAAGTGCCTGTTTTTGACATTTAAAACTTTACATCACCCCAAAGCCAACGTATTTGAGGGACTGCTTCTTCCTGATTATTTATTACCAATCCCATCAGGTTAGGTGAAAAGAACACGTTACATGTCCTTTTCTGACATGGCATTTTGGAACATCACTCCCCTTCAAGGTCAAATTAGGCCTTACAGATATGTCTTAAGATGTGGTTTTTCCAAGAGACTTAAGGATCCTTTGGGAAAAGGGACCCTGTGAGATGGTTTTATTATGTTTGAATTTTTATTGCATACATTAAAACAACATGTTGTATATATGTTTCTTGTTTTTTGTGCTGATTTCAAGATGCTTTCTAGTTGTTTTACTTAATGTAGACTATACTTGTAAGATAGATAGCTATATACATTTGATAAATAAATAAATATCCATGTAGAGCCTACTCACTTTCCATTATAGCTCAGTTGTTATATATAGTGATCTTACAACACCTATCATCAGCTGTGCTTCTATGTTGTTCATCAATCTGGAATGTGCCATTTTACCAGCTTCTTTTGGGGGTTTTCAGCTAAAATGGTAAAATATTATTTCAGCCATTCTTAACATATATTAATATATTTGTATACTTGTGTGCAGTAATTCCTGGTCTTTGTTTCACTTACCAATCTTCTTGCTCTTTTGATTAAAGTATTTCACAAACAAATACAAAATTTTCAAATCACCCAAGCATCCAGATTTTATTTTCCTTTTCCTTACACTGTGTCAATTTAACAAGCTGCAGTATTGACAGAATATTGCAGAAAGTCTACACTGAAAAAAATATAACAAATTAGTTGCAACTGCCTTGTAGCTTGCAGTAGAAGAATTATGGTTGAATAACTGTTAGAAATACATGGTAAAGGAGTGTGAAATGCTACATGTAAAAAATAATCTGAAGAATATGTTTCTTTTAAATCACAAAAACCCAATTAATAATGGAGTCCTCTTAAAGTATTTAAATAATGCTTTTCCATTGCTGTTAAATCCCAAGAAGGAAAGCCTTTTGGCTCCAATCTGCCAGGAATAGGAGAAGATTTTAAAAGAGAAGCAAAATGCCCCCCCTCCATTTCTCTAGAGTCTTTTGATTATGTTCCCAGAATTTTTTCAGTTTAAAAAGCATGTCTTCTCACTGAAAGTTCCTTTATTATTCCTTATTGAATAATTGTAAGTTGCTTCAGCAAGTAGCTTTATTTTTGTTTTCGACCCAAGATTAAACACCATGGAATAAAATCTCAATAATATTATACAGAACAGTTGGAAGAGCACTTGGCAAGCATATACCACTAGTGAGATATTAAAAGAATCGTACACAATGACCCCTAAAATGCATTTATTCTTTATAAGCAGGCCAGAAAACATTGGCAATTTTAGAAGCCACTAGTGAACTCCAAAGAGCTGTTTGGTATCATTTGGGAGGCAAACATTGCATTTCTTAGTGTTTCTTCATCAGTGAGAAGTAATCAGGCAACCTTGGTATTTACTACACAATTTTCCTTTCTGTGAATACGTGTATTTTCTAGTTCTATCTTCTGGTGTTAAGGCTTGATAGGTTACTAGATGATAAACCAAATAAAGGAAGATTATGGTCCCATAATCTCTTAAATCCGATAAATTTAAGGGACTCTTAAGTCCCATACATTCAAAACTCCTTGAAGACAAGATTACATGGAGATTTCTAAAGAGAGCAGTATCTTGTGCCTGCTGATATATTGACAAAGGAAGGAGACACAGTCATTTTATATTAATAAGTACAATTGGTAGATTCCACAAATTTGAAATGTACTGCTGTCTACCCTGGAAACCTCGCAATTTAATCTTAAAACTATAGGTTTCTGAATAATAAATGTGGAAGTGAATTGCAATTTACTTGTGGATGGAGGATGCCAATATACAGTATAAACCAAATATGCAGGTTGCCCATGTGAGGAGTATGTGGCATCATTAATTAGGTGTCTAGCTAAAAGACAGGAGGTTTCCAGACCATGGCTCAATTCAGGCCGCCATCTCTCAGACTTGAAGCAGATCTGAAGTTTTTGCTACAGGCTGAATCATGTCCAAGTGCATATGTATAGGAATTTAGAGGTGACTTGCGGAAATTATGAAAGAATCATTGAGGGGACTTGGGGAAGTGATTCAAAGTCCAAAGATTGACGCAAATGAGAGAAAGAAGTTCAAAATAACCTCACCTTGATTTTGTTTAGTGTAAGATGAGACAAAGAAAAACTTTGTTAGTGTTATGTCTGGGAGATCAGTCCCGGGTAGATCGGGTCACATTGAGACGCGAGACTCAAAGTGCACATTCAGCTCTTTATTGAATATACAGTTAGGTACAGGACCTGCGCTCAGCGCGGCTTTTCTTATAGAGCCGGCCGGCGGCTCGGCGGCCAATGACAGGGCTTTGAATCTCCCGCGATCGGCTCGGCCAATCGCGGGAGGTTCTTAGCGCACCAATCCCGGCCGCTCAGTTGACCAATCAGATTGCGGCCCGTGTGGACCAATCGGATTTCGAGGTTTGGAGAATGCTAATATAGAACACCCCTCCCCTCTTGGTTTCGTCCGACGTAGCGTGTGACGTAGTCGCGTAGGTAGGCAGGGCTTCTTACTTGCCTCGTTGACTTGCGCGTTTTAGTAGGTGTCTTGTCATCGACCGGTTCAGACGGGCTCTGCGTCGCTCCCAAGCTTCTCAATGGAACCGCCTGGAATGGTGAGCCGGGCCCATTGCTGCAGCTCCCACCCGGTCTACCCGGGTCGGTCGAGTTGTTGGCTCTGCTGTTCCCGCCTGGTCTCTCCGGGCTGGTTGAGCTGGCTTGGCTGCTCCTTCCAGGTGAAGCTCCCGTTTGCAATGGCTCGAGGTCTGCTGGTGAGTATGGCTGGTTAAATGTTTGTTTTGGGCTTGTTCTGGGTGGGGGGTGTTCTGCCTGCATTTTAGGCCTTCCCTCTTCCTTTTGTTCAGCGTTTGGGTTTTCCCCCCCTTCCCGGTTTCTTCCCTAGTGTTTGTTTGCGGGGTGTTGGTGCTGTCAGCGGCTAGTCTTGACCGTAACTGGTCGATGTGCCCCTTCCAGCTTCGTCTGTTGGTGGTTTGTAGTCGGTACGACCGGGGGCCCGTTACTTGGGTTATTTGTGCCGGCACCCAGAGTGGGTCTCCGGTGAAGTTTTTCGTGTAGACGGTGTCTCCGGTGTTAAATGTCTGGTGTCTACTGGACGAGCCTGGGGGTTTCTCCGGGTTGTACATAGGGTGTAACCGGTCTAGTGGGGACCTTAGTTTTCTGCCCATGAGTAGCTCTGCTGGGCTCTTGTTTGTGGTTGTGTTGGGGGTGATGTGTTGTATGAGTAGCATTCTATTTATTTTTTCTTGTATGTCGCCGGTTTCTATTTTTTGGATGTTTTTTTTTTTGTGAACTGTACCATTCTCTCCGCCCGTCCATTCGCCGCTGGATGAGCGGGCGAGGTTAAGGCATGCCTTATACCTCGTTCAGCTAGGTATTTTTCGAAGGCTAGTGCGGTGAACTGCGGTTATCCGACACTAGCACATCTGGTAACCCGTGTGTGGCGAAAAGTTTATTCAGCTTTTCTATGACGGCTTCCGTCGTTGTGGTCTTCATGGTGCTTACTTCCAGCCAGTTGGAGTAAGCATCTACGGTGACCAGGGATGTGTGTCCCTTGGTGGGCCCGGCGAAATCTATGTGAATTCGCGACCAGGGGCCTCGGGGGGGTTCCCATTCCAAGACTGGTGCAGCGGGGGGGGGGGGGGGCTCGCGTTTCCGGGCCCCTTTTGCATGCGGCTACCCACGTCTCGATCTGTTTGTCCATCCCTGGCCACCAAGCGTGACTTCTGGCCAGGGCTTTCATCTTGACGATGCCCGGGTGCCCCTCATGCAACATGTCCAGTACCCTTTTTTGTAAGGTTTCTGGTATCACCACACTGTCTCCCCAAAGTATGCACCCCTTTTGTGAAAAAAGTTCGGTTTGCCGGTTTCTGAAAGCTTTGAAGTGTTCGTTTCCGTCGCTTTCTGGCCACCCTCTCTCAACCCAGATCAAGATGCCAGCGCTTGTCTTTATTTGTTTCTCGGGCAATGTCTGGCGTGGTCAGGAATGGGTTGGTTAGAGTCTCTTATTTGCAGGGTTGTTGTTGTGGGCGCTGGGTCGTCTTCTATG